CTCCAATTCCCATTCTTAATTTTTACAAAGATCTATTTCAGTTAATGCTACACTCATAATATTAACCCTACACTAAGTAAAGAGTTCAACAAATAGTATGAAGAAAAAAATACTTTCCCTCAACAGTTGAGACAAGCACTATAACAGTCATCAAATCTCTAAATGTCAATTTCAAAACCTATAGATTACCTTTTGTGAACTCTATTAGTTACTGTAGATCGGTATTTATATATGGTATTTATCTTTCTTGGACTGGCTTATTTCACTACTAAGTATGATAATTTTCAGTTACATTCATTTTGTTGCAAAAGACAGGATTTCATATACCATTATTTCTTTATTAAGTCATCAGTTGATGGACATCTGGGTTGATTGTCCATCTTAGCTACTGTGAAATGAGCTGCAATGAACACAGGGGTACAGAACACTCTTCATGTTGTTTTCATTTCCTTTGGGTAAATTCCCAGGAGTGGAATGGCTGGGTCATATGGTAGGTCTATATTCTGATTTCTGAGTTATCTTCATAATGTTTATCACAGTTGCTGCACAATTTACATTCCCATCAACAGTGGATTAGGGTAACTTTTTCCCCATATCCTTACAAGCACTTATTGTTTGTTGATTTCCGTATGACAACCATTCTAACTGGGTAAGATAAAACTCATTGTGGTTTTGATTTGCATTTCTCTTACAGCTAGTGATCCTGAGCAGTTTTTTATGTGCTGTTCGCCATTTGAATTTCCTCTTTAGAACAATTCCTGTTCAACTCCTTTGCTTATTTCTTAACTGGATTGTTTGTTGTTGAGATTTTTGAACTCTATTTTATAGAGTCTAGATATTAATCTTCTATCAGTTTCATAGTTTGCAAATGTTTTTTCACATTCTGTTGGTTGCCTCTTCACATTGCTGAGGATTTCCTTCGCAATGCAAAAGCTTCTCAGCTTGATGTAATCACATTTGGCAATTTGGCTTTGATTTCTCATGCTTCTGGGGTCTTTCCCAAGAAGTCTTCACCTATGTCAATGTTTTGCAAAGTTTCCCCAAGGTTCTATATTACTTTGATGGCACTGGGCAGTAGATTTAGGTCCTGATGCATTTTGAGTGGATTTTTGTGTAAGGTATAATCCCACTTGGTCCAGTTCTGATGTGTTGTTGGATTCAACAGGCTAGTATTTTGTTGAGATTTTTGCATCTATGTTCAACAGGGATATTGCTCTACAGTTCTCTTTCTCTGTTTTATCTTTTTCTAGTTTAATAATTAAGGTGATGCCAGCTTCATAGAAGGAGTTTGGGAGGATTCGCTCCCTTTAAATTGTTTTGAAGAGCTTGAGAATTGGAATTATTTCTTCTTTCAATCTCTGGTAGAATTCAGCAATGAAGCCATCTAGTCCTGGGCTTTTCTTTGTTGGGAGAGTATTACTGATTCAATTCCTGTCTTGGTTACTGATCTGATTTGGTTTTCTATTTATTCATTGCTCAATTTAGGTAGGTTGTATATGTCCAGGAACCTATGCATTTCTTCTAGGTTTCCTGATTTGTTGGCACACAGCTCTTCATAGTAATTTCTGATGATTCTTTTTATTTCTGTAGTGTCTGTTGTTACATTTCATTTTTCATCTCTAATTTTATTGACTTGGGTCTTCCCCTTTATGGTTAGTAGGGCCAGTGGTGTATCAATTTTGCTTATTTTTTCAAAAAACAACTCTTCATTTCATTGACATTTTAGTTTTTTTGTTTGTTTTAATTTTCTTTCTTTACTTCTTTCCTCATAACTTGGGGTTTGGTTTGTTGCTTTTCTAGGTGCTTAATGTACTGATAGTTCATTTATTTGGCACCTTCCAATTTCTTCATGGAGGCACCAATTGCTATAAACTTCCCTATTAACAGTAATTTTGCTGTATACCATAATTTTTGATATGTTGTACTGCTACTTTTATTCAACTCCAGAAAAAATTTCTCTTCGATTATATTAGGGAAGTTTTCTGTAATTTCACTCCATTCTTTCTTTCCACAACTTTCAGAACTCCTAAGACTCCTATGTTGCTTCATTTGATAGTACACCATAAGTCTCCAACACTGTTTTTAATTTTTCTAATTTTTTTTTGGTCTAACTGAAAAATTGCCAAAGATATGTCTTCTAGTTTAGATATTCTTTCTTCTGCCTCACCAAGTCTTTTAAGGCTTTCCATTTTTATTTTTTGACATACTGAATTCTTCATTTCTAATATTTTATTGTAATTATCTTCAAAAATCTCTATTTCATGGGAGAACTTTTCATTCATGTCACATATGTATTCCTTTAATTTGTCAATTTGATCATAGGATTACTCAGAAGCAATCTTTTGAATTCTGTTTCGGGCATTTCATCAGTCTCTTTATCTTCACATTCTAATATTGAATGTTGTTGTCTTCCTTAGGGGGGGTCATGTTGTCTTGCTTATTGAAGTTTCTTGAATTTTTGCACTTATTTTTAGGCCTATGTGGGGATACTTGTTGGCTTTTTCCTATGATGGCTTTTTTTTTTTGACAGGTAGAGTGGACAGTGAGAGAGAGAGACAGAGACAGAGAGAAAGGTCTTCCTTGGTTCACCCTCCAATGGCCGCTGTGGCTGGTGCGCTGCAGCTGGTGCACCGCGCTGATCCGAAGGCAGGAGTCAGGTGCTTCTCCTGGTCTCCCATGTGGTGCAGGATCCAAGGACTTGGGCCATATGATGGCTTTTTTTTTTAAAGATTTATTTATTTGTTATTTGAAAGGCAGGGTTATAGAGAGGCAGAGGATGAGACAGATACACACACACACACACACACATACATATACATATATATGGAGAGAAAGAGAGAGATCTTCCACCTGCTGAATCACTCTCCAAATGGCTACAATGGCCAGAGCTGCAATGGCCAGGAGTCAAGAACCAGGAGCTTCTTCAGGGTCTCCCATGTGGTTACAGGGGCTCAAGGACTTGGGCCATCTTCTGCTTTCCCAGGACGTACCAGAGAGCTGGATCAGAAGTGGAGCACCTGGGACTCAAACTTGTGCCCATTCAGAATGCCGACGCAGCAGGTGGTGGCTTCACCCACCATGCCATACATAGCACTGCCCCCTGCTTTGATGGCTTTTAACTTTGAACTATGACTCTGTCGCTCAGAAGAATGTGGGATCATTTAGTGAATATCCAGAGGTGTGTGCTGGTGTAGCCAGGGAGCTCTGGTTAGTGCTCTAGGGTAGGGCAAGTATCCCGGGTGACACACAAGTTGGGCATGGTAAATTTCCTCTTGTTAATATTGAGGGTGGATATAGTCACCTCTGTTAGTGTAATCACATGCTCACATCCTCTCTTCCAAGGTGATCAATGCCTGGATGTTAGACTTCAGTGTGTGTAATATTCACCCATGTTTCTGCATGAACTGAACACTACAGTCCTCCGCAGTTTGAGCACGGATCCCAATGCAATGACTCATCCCAATGCAATGACTCACCCCAAGCAATTAGGTTTCTGAGCAGGTGAAACCGCACACAATGGTTGCCCAGAGACCCAGTTACACCTTGTGCCCTCTCATGCAAGTCGTATAGTTCCCACAATCTCAGCACACAGGGCTCTCGTAGTCACAGGATACAGAGAATTCACTCCATCCTGCTAGCCTGTCCCATTCACAGAAAGGCAGAGATGTTTCGAGAGCCAGATTCCTGTGGGTTCTCTGACTAGGTGGGCTGAGCCTAGTTAAGATGCTGAGGGCACTTCAGTCCTACATGGGTGCCCAGCCCCTTATCAGTCCTCCCAGCCAGACTCAATGTCAGTGGAGAATGTGGATTTTTCATACTGGTAAAATCCCTGGATCACATGTGTGCACAACAGCTGCTGGCCACAGCCCTATTCATATCCCAATCATGTATTCTCCCTTCCGGTTGCCCGGTGCCTACAAGAGTCTGCACATGGTACTGATGTTGGAATGGCTCCTTCTCTCCACCCGTTGCCAGTTGCATGCACCCAAGCTTCTGTGGGTGCCTATTCTGAAAAGATATCATCATACCTTCCAGTTGCTGAGTGCTTCTGCAGCAGCAACCTACTTATGTTCAAATGGCACCCACCCTCTCCCAACTGATTGCTGGCTGCCATTGTTGGGGGATGGGGAAAGTGTAATGTGCTTCATTTTCACCATTCTGTCAGTGGGAACCCTGTTCTCCTCAGAGCTCCAGGCTGGACTTTAAGACAATGAAGTCCACCAGGCTCTCCCTCTGGCTATACCTGCAGTGGCACAGGCCGCTGCAGTTTGATCTCACCTTTTTCTACAAAGTTGGCACTTTCTGTGGCTCTGGGCTGCTGGGATCATGTGTTGTGTCTGTGTTTGTTGCTACATGTCTGCACCATCCACACAGATCCATAGCGTCTCTCCTCCTTCCACAGAATCTCCAACTGTCCTCTGAGAATGCACTTGCTCCCCTTTTTAAAAGCACTATTTTCCTCTGGCCTGCAGCAGTCCACCTTTTACCTATTCTACCATCACAGAATCAAAACTCTGAGAATTTCTTTGTGATATTTCTCATTCTCTTTGGGAATTTCTTTGTATAACAGCCTTTTTTTTCCCCTTTCTGACTTGACAAGTAAAAATTTTATGTAGTTGTATTATACAATCTGATAATCTGATGTATGTATACATTGTTGGATGGCTAAATAAAGCTATAAAGAAAACGTATTACCTCAAATACTTATTTTTTTCTTGTACAGAAACCTGTTAAAATATACTTTGTAACTGTCAAGTACACAATATACTACTATTATCTATAGTAACCATGATGAACATTTACTCCTCCTGTATAACCAAAATTTTGTGCCCTTTGACCAACAGAACATCTCAATACCACAATCTTGAGCTATTGGTAACCAATATTTGACTTTCTGTTCCTGTGACTTCTAATTTTTTATAGTTTACATTGGAGAGACATTATACAGCATATGTCTTTTTCTCCCAGCTGATTTCACTGAATAGAATGTCTCACCTTACCTTTCTTTCTTTATCATACTGAGAATAAATTCCCAAAATATCCAAAATATTAGCATGAGGAAATTTATTCTGAAGAACGTTCTTCACATTGTCCACAGTGAGTACGTTTTTATTCTTCACATTTTGGTACATCTATGGAAACAAAGAATTAATTTTCATTTTTGTGACAATTACTTTTCTTTCTTTTCATTAGAATGTAGAAAAGATTTGAAAAGTGAACATTTTATATTTTCTATGTTCTAAGCATAATACATATAGATACAACTCAAATAAATCATTTTAATTATACAGTGTGCTGTATCTCTAATAAAAACTTTTAGAATATTTTATGGTTTTCAAAAATATCATAACAAATTTGTTATATTCTGTTTTTATAATACCAGACACAGTGATTCTTTACAAAATTACTGTTAACTATCCTTAAAAAGGTATATGTAAAATACTTTAGATGGATTATTTCACAAGTGCTTCATTTTCATTTCTGATTGCTCTTCAGTAAGTACCTTGGCTAGGATTTATCTGTACCCCCTCTATTCCCCTACTCTCAGATTTTCTAAGTATATTTGCAGAATATAATATGTTACTCTTTTATTTTTTCAATTTTTCCATTTTATCAGTCGCTACAGACCCTCTACCATGACTCGGGCATGGTTCCTAGCATGGGGAATAAGAAAGAAGGTATCTCTGATTAGAAAAAGGAAATGACTGACAGGAGGCAAGATGGCGGAATAGGAAGGGAGCACATTGATAGTCCGGGGAGAGCCAGTTTAATAAAAGTGGAGATACTGCAGGTTCAAGGAAGAGTAGGGGAAGAAACAGCAGAGGAAACTCTTCCGGAACGCGTGATTCACAGTGGACCTGGGTGGAGAGCGTGGGAGCCCACAGTTCGGGACACCAGCGGCAGACTCAACACACCAGCGCTGGAACGCGAGGTGAGCCGAACCTCAATAGCCCGAGACACCGGCAGGCAAGCGGAAAGAGGAGACTAGAGGGAACGACCCCCGGGGCGGGGGGAAGTTCACCAGGCTAACTGGAAGAGAGAGAGAGAGAGAGAGAGAAAAAAGTGACTGGTACGGACACGGGTTTCTCTCTCTCCGCTCACCTCTCAAAGGCGAGCAAGACAAAGAGCAGGCGCCATCTTGGACATACGTCATAAGCAGAGCGACCTCAGGTCTGCACCGGCCCTGAGCCTAGCAGAAAAACCTGACTCTGGGCGGGGCGAATTAACAGGAGATTAGGACCTATTAAATTTGTGGTGCTAATGAACTGAGACTGTGAAAAAAGAGACAGTGGGGGAGAGAGAACTCACGGAATTCACGTGAGTACTCTCCAGAGAGGCTACAATTCCGTAACTTTGGCAACCCAGTGGGAGACTGAAGGAGAATTTGAGCCCACACTGAGGGCAGAACAGATTCCCTGTGTGGTCCTTGGGAAAGAGCTTCTGATCTCTGGCTCCTGTGGGTATATCATTTGCCTGCTAACTACCTCCAACTTCGTTCAGCTGTGTGGAATTACTTCCCTTTTGAATCAAAAAAAGAAAGAAATAGAGAGAGAGAGAGATCTACCACGCCTAACCTGGGAGTGTCACGTTAGGCACACCAAACAGAGCTCTCAGGCCACACCCATCTCATGCCTCTAAGGCTCCATCAAAAACAGACAGTCCACTTAATCTAGAGTCATAGTGTAACAAGAAAAAGAACCACAGTAAAGAAACCAAATATCTCCAATATGCCAAATAACAAACGCAAAAACCGAGGTAATAAAAACAAGGAAGTCACCATGACGCCCCCAAATGAAAAAGACACCCCAATTCAAGATTATGAAGATGATGAGATAGAAGAAATGCAAGAAGCAGATCTCAAAAAATAGATAAGAACATTAAGAAGTTCTCAAAAACAAATTTTTGAACTACAGAAATCCTTAATGTACGAGATAGAAAATCTCTCGCATGAAAATGAAATATTAAGGAGGAATCAAAATGAAACAAAACAACTAGTACAACAGGAAGCTGTGATAGTGACGAGAAATCATAATGAAGTGAAGAATTCAATACATCAAATGAAAAACACAATAGAGAGCCTTACAAACAGAATGGGTGAAGCAGAAGAGAGAATATCGGACTTAGAAGACAGAGAACAGGAAAGGATACAGTCAGACCAAAGAAAAGAAGAGGAACTTAGAAATCTAAAACATATTGTCCGGAATCTTCAGAATACTATTAAAAAACTCAACATTCGGGTTCTAGGAGTTCCTGAAGGCATGGAGAGGGAGAAAGGATTAGAAGGCCTTTTTAGTGAGATATTTGCAGAAAATTTCCCAGGTTTGGAGAAGGACAGAGACATCCTAGTACAGGAAGCTCACAGAACCCCTAATAAACACGACCAAAAGAGATCCTCACCACGACACGTTGTAATTAAACTCTCCACAGTGAAACATAAAAAAAGATCCTAAAATGTGCAAGAGAGAAACGTCAGATTACTCTCAGAGGATCTCCAATCAGACTCACAGCAGACTTCTCATCAGAAACACTACAGGCTAGGAGGGAATGGCAAGATATAGCCCAGGTGCTAAGAGAGAAAAACTGCCAGCCCAGAATATTATATCCTGCAAAGTATCATTTATGAATGAAAGTGAAATAAAGACCTTTCACAGCAAACAGAAATTGAAAGACTTTGTCGCCACTCGTCCAGCCCTGCAAAAGATGCTTAAAGATGTGTCACACACAGAAACACAGAAACATGGTCATCAATATGAAAGAAGGTAAAGGAAGGAAACCTCACAGCAAAAGATCACAGGGAATTCAAAGCATATATTAGAACTTATCTTTGGTAAATGGCAGGGCAAAGTTACCACTTATCATTAGTCACATTGAACGTGAATGGCCTGAACTGTCCAGTTAAAAGACACAGATTGGCTGACTGGGTTAAGGAACTAAACCCATCTATTTGCTGCTTACAAGAAACACATCTTTCCAACAAAGATCCATACAGACTGAAAGTGAAAGGCTAGAAAAAGATATACCATGCCAACAGAAATGAAAAAAGAGCGGGCGTAGCCATCTTAATATCAGACAACATAAACTTTACCACAAAAACTGTTAAAAGAGACAAAAAGGGACACTATATAATGATTAAGGGATCAATACAACAAGATATAACAATTATCAATGTATATGCACCTAACTACAGGGCACCAGTTTATCTAAATGATTTGTTAACGGACTTAAAGGGAGACTTAGACCCCAATACAATAGTTCTGGGGGACTTCAATACTCCACTCTCAGAAATAGACAGATCAACAGGACAGAAGATCAACAAGGAGACAGTAGATTTAAACGACACTATAGCCCAAATGGATCTAACAGATATATACAGAACTTTCAATCCTACAGCTAAAGATTTTACATTCTTCTCAGCAGTACATGGAACCTTCTCTAGGATTGACCACATATTAGGCCATAAAGCAAGTCTCAGCAAATTCAAAAGAATTAGAACCATACCATGCAGCTTCTCAGACCATAAAGGAATGAAGTTGGAAATTAGCAACTCAGGAATCCCTAGAGCATACGCAAACACATGAAGATTGAACAACATGCTCCTGAATGAACAATGGGTCATAGAAGAAATCAAAAGAGAAATCAAAAACTTTCTGGAAGTAAATGAGGATAACAGCACAACATACCAAAACTTGTGGGATACAGCAAAAGCAGTGTTAAGAGGAAAGTTTATATCAATAGGTGCCTACATCAACAAATTGGAAAGGCACCAAATAGATGAGCTTTCAATGCATCTCAAGGATCTAGAAAAACTGCAGCAAACCAGACCCAAATCTAGTAGGAGAAGAGAAATAATTAAAATCAGAGAAGAAATCAACAGGATTGAATCAGAAAAAAAAAAAACATTACAAAAAAATCAGCCAAACGAGGAGCTGGTTTTTGAAAAAATAAACAAAATTGACACCCCACTGGCCCAACTAACTAACAAAAGCAGAGAAAAGACCCAAATCAATAAAATCAGAGATGAAAAAGGAAACGTAACAACAGACACCACAGAAATAAAAAGAATCATCATAAACTACCACAAAGAAATGTATGCCAACCAACTGAATCTTTGAAAAGAAGGAGGTACCTTTCTCTGAAGGGAGGAGAGAACTTCCACTTTGACCATGGCCTTGTCTAAATATGATCAGAGTCAGTGAACTCAGGGGGCTTCCATAGCCTTGGCAGCTCATGACAAGAGCCTAGGGTGATTACTGACGCCATAAACAAGAGTGTCAATTTGTTAAGTCAACAACAGGAGTCACTGTGCACTTCCTCCTCATGTAGGATCTCTGTTTTTAGTGTGCTGTACATTGAGATTTAATGCTATAACTAGTACTCAAAGAGTATTTTTCACTTTATGTTTCTGTGTGGGAGCAAACTGTTGAAATCTTTACTTAATGTATGCTAAAATGATCTTCTGTATATAAAGAGAATCGAAAATGAATCTTGATGTGAATGGAAGGGGAGAGGGAGTGGGAAAGGGGAGGGTTGTGGGTTGGAGGGACGTTATGGGGGGAAGCCATTGTAATCAATATTCTGTACTTTGGAAATTTATATTCATTAAATAAAAGTTAAAAAAAATAGATCACTCATTTTTAATGGCTAATACTTTTAAACTCCCCCCTTCTTTTTTTTTTTTTTTTAAAGATGTATTTATTTATTTGAAAGGCAGAGTTACAAACAGGCAGTGGCATAGGCAGAGGCAGAGAGGTCTTCCACCTGCTGGTTCACTCCACAAATGCTCCAAGGGCCAGAGCTGGGCTGATCTGAAGCCAAGAGACTGATCTAAAGCCAGGAGACAGGAGCTTCTTCTGGGTCTCCTACTTAGGTGCAGGGGTCCAATCACTTGGACCAGTTTCTGCTGCTTTCCTAGGCCATTGCAGAGAGCTTGATTGGAAATGGAGCTGCCAGGTCTCAAACCGGTGCCCACATGGGATGCTGGCACTGCAGGTGCATTTTACCCACTATGCCACAGTGCTGTCCCCTAAACTCCCTTTTTAAACTGAAAAACTTGACTGTATGTTTTCTTTTTTTTTGTTTTAAGTGCAAAATTACCTGACTCTGATTGCTGTGTTTAGGCTCTCATATTTCC